ACTCACTTTCTCTGGGGAATGTCAATTAATCAGGTTTGATGTGAGGAAAGGGAAGGATAGCTCCACTTCATTTGATCAAGAGCCTTTCACTGGTATCAAGGGTACCCCGCCACATAGGTAATAATGACGTTAATTACCCAGCAGGAAGGAGACTCGTAATTATCACCACTATGGCAGGAAGATGATCATCATAAGAGCTAAACCCACAAGGGTCATACAGCGCTGCAGAGCTGTAGGTTTTGTCATCAGTATTATAATGATCCGTTAATTCAGTGTACAAATCTTTTCAATTACGCTGGAGAGCTTGTAATATAGAATTTTGGGGGAGCGCTAAACCCGTAGGATTATACAGTGGGGGGGGATGGAAGGTATTCAGGCTTATTTCAGGGAACTGGAGCACAGATCCAATTCCCTAGATCAAGATTATTATTATTATAATCAAAAAGACCCTAGATCAAGAGCCCCTCACCAGCGTCAAGGAACCTTCCTTGAGGCGACGCTCTTAATATAGTGTTTTGGTAATAGAGTTGTGGATGAGTGGAACAAACTCCCGAGTACAGTTATAGAGGCTAAAACGTTGTGTAGTTTTAAAAATAGGTTAGATAAATACATGAGTGGGTGTGAGTTGGACCTGACTAGCTTGTGCTACTAGATCTGATGCCTTGCTCCTTCCTTAAGTGGAAGTGACCTGACTAGATGGGTCATTCGGCTAATCGGGGGGAATGGACCTGCTTCGCATGGGTCAGGAGGCCTGCTGCAGTGTTCCTTCTTGTGTCTCCGTCCTTCCCATCCTCCTCTCTCTCTCACTCTGTCTCTGTCTCACTATTTCTCAGTCTCCTTCTCTCTGTATTTTAATTACAGTATAGTATTGATGGGAGAGCGGTAAAGCCGTAGTGTCACAAGCAAGTTAAACAATACACTTGTATGAATCAACGTTAAGTAACTAAGATTTATTTTCATGAAAGGGAAGCGCTAAACTCGCATGGGTCATACAGCACCTGAGAGTCATTCACATTCTCACTAAGGGGAGCATAACTCCACCTCCTTGTATCAAAAGCCCTTCACCAGAATCAAGGTCCCTCCCTCGAGGAAAAGAAATGTTTCCTTGTATAAACCAGCAGTGTTATAAGGTCAGGTCAGGTAAGATCAGGGCAAGTCAGGTCAGGTAAGGTCAGGTTCATCAAGAAACAAAAGTGTTCCATGCAACACTTTGGTCATATGAAGGAATTACATGCCAGGAAAGTGAAACTCAGCAGTTACCCCTCAAGAGGTTCCTTAATGCCTGTGAAGGACTCTTGATCCAAGGAACTGGATTTGTCTTCCTCTTCCTTGGATCAAAGTGAAATACCTCCCATTTCCCTATGGTTTTACCACTTCTCAGTGATTATAATGATCCACTATTATTATGGGGGAGCACTAAACCCGTTTATAATGATCCAAGGAAGAAGAGAGCACTAATTTCTCGAGAACCTTCTGCACATATTACAATCATAACTAAGCACTAAACCCACAAGGGTCATATGCTCCATAACCTGTGTCAATAGAGTAAGAATTAGTATTAGCCTACCAGAAATGCCTAGGCATGCTAGTGGCTTTCTTTGTAATTAATATTCTATAAACGTAATCCCCACATTGTAATCTTTAGAGAAATGAACATTTTAATTTCAATAGAGAACCTTTATCACAGACATTTCCTCTGGGAGAGACAGACTAGATGCCACATACTTGGTTGTAATTCACTTAGTCGAACCTCAAGTTGACTTGATTTGATTAACCGATGCTGTTATGCAAGGCCTTCATCAATGTAACTTTTATAATAGTTAAGAGCTAAACCCGAAAGTATTGTGGAAAAAATTGCATTTATCTGAATGTAACTAATTATGTACATAACAGTAAATGATAACAAAGATAATTATTGTTTATCAATGTTACATAGACAAGTAGGAATTTGGGACACCTAGGTCGCAAAAAATGTCCCCCTTCGATACCTACCACTGTCATAACCACAAGTTGCTCTGGACCTATTAATTAAATGAAATATACATCACCAGGAATACTGGTAAATATATAAATTTGTGGACTTTATATTAAAAATAATAAATGGTTATATATATACACAATTACATAACAGAAGGAAAATATATCTTAATATCACTCACCAATTTGACTGGAGATTAATGTGTATCATACTCAGAAAACCTCACTCTAACTAAATCTATGAAAATAATACTGGCCAGAATTACACACAAATCTAGAGAGCTTATCTGAGGTTCCTGGAGCTGTCTTGTCCAGTTGTCTGATATCTCAAGTTATGCAGGAATGCACATCCAACAATTTCACCTCCTATTTGAGAGGTGTCAACACAATTTTAACCTCTAGAGCACGAAAAATTCTTCCCATTACACCAACGTTTTAATACAAAACTCAAAAACCAAGATGGCGAGACTCGTCTGCGCAGACGCAGGCTTTCCGTTTTCTATGACAAATATTATTAAATACAGCATGGCCATCTATTTACATATAAATACTGAATTTCTGGAAAATATATACAGTATTTTCCACAAATATATTACAGTGCCTTTGTTGACACATCAGACTTTACAGCGCCCAGGTTTTGGTTTAGTACATAAACCCTTATTATTATTATTATAATTA